ATCTTGTGTGTTGCCATTACATCAAATTGCATTATAACCTGACATAAGGTAAGAATACACAGTCATTTTTCTATTAAGTAAAACACTAATCAGAAAAAAAAAATTAAGATTTAAACACCTCTGGCAGAATTCAACTAAATACTACGGTGAAGATTTTCTTTTTCCAACCTGTCCATAAGCCTGCCCATCCCGTTTCCTTTTTTTGTTGTTGTTGTTGTTCTTATTCTATTACAGACTAAGGATTTCATTATTTGGACGGGTTTTAAAAATATTTTATCTACTTTATGTGAAAGCCCCATCTGACTGCACTGATGGAGATCATTTATTTGTTCAATTTCCCATACATTGTTTCAGGGCAAGCAGAAAGAAAACAGAGCACCAATAGAGATGTAAATATTTTGGAAGTAGGAGCAGTTGTCTGCAGAAAATTCTCCTACCAGTGCAGATGTCAGTCTGATTACTGTAGGGTATAGCGTGAGGCCGCCCAGCAGTGAAAACAGACCAGGGAAATACCGGCTGTGCACCCTCATCAAATGAAGTGTGAAGTTGTACCTCTCTGGGGAATTGGATCCATCGAGATGCCAATCAAATATTTTAAGTGAAAACAAGAAGTCTATCTTCTCTTCTTTGCGGCTGTATTTCTTTTTATGTGGCTAAGTTTCCCACTGTGCTCCGTCACTTGGATTAAATAAATACACTGTTGATGAAAGTTCCTTCTGGGAGGCTAAAGCAATAATCACGTTTCCTTCCAGAAGAGATTCTGAAGATCCCTGTTCTCTGAGAAGTGATGCTTATGTGGATATAAAACCCTGAATTAAAAAGTATAAGAACACCCTCTCTTTTTATACCCATGATAACTCAAGGTCTTGGAGAAAGAAACAGCCTAAGAAAAGAAAAAATATACACAGTAGGGAGGCCAAGGCAGATAGGTAGCTTGAGCTCAGGAGTTCAAGACCAGCCTGAGCAAGAGTGAAACCCCATCTCTACTAAAAATAGAAAAACTAGCTGGTGGTTGTGGTGGACACCTGCAGTTCCAGCTACTCCGGAGGCTGAGGCAGGAGAATCACTTGAGCCTAAGAGTTTGATATTGCTGTGAGTGGTAATGCCAGGGCACTATACCCAGGGTGACAGAGTGAGACTCTGTCTCCAAAAAAAAAAAAAAAAGAATACACACACACAAAGTTGTAAATGGTGTCCTTATACCTTCTGACATTAATGTCCATTCAAATGAGGGTTTGAGCAATGCAAAATGAAATTTGGAAATTAAATGTGGCCATGGCTTTCTTTAATTATCCCTCTCACTGTCATGTTCCCCACATGAATACATATCTGTGTACATTTGATTTTGAATCTAGCTATTTTCTGCAGAAAACAATTAACAAATAGTATGGCCAGATCTCTGGAAAGAACTCCCAAACTAACATCACCAAAAATAGCCTTCCAGGGAAGCTGCTTGTGCTGCCGTGGACGGGAGACCAGGAGGCTGACTCCACAACTTCATCCAGGGCCCCATTTCACCTCCCAAACCCTCCTCTCCACTTGCCCCTATTCCTAATGCAGGTGTTAAGGCTGCCTTGATTGGTGGGGGCAACACCAGCTGAAACTCTAGCTGCAAGGGAGTCTGGGAAACATCTTCCTTAGCTGTCCACACTCAGCAGAGTTGGGTGGCGTCCTTGAGGGACATGGCATCAATGTTGAATCAGCCAATTAACGCAGTTTCTCACAGAACTACTGTCCATGCAAGTTTATTCTTTGCCAACAAATCTCCCATCTTAAAAGTAATGCTGTTTCCTTATTGTGTAGTTAACTCTCTATTCAAGGTATGGGATCATTCTGGTCCATCCACCTTTACACCTGTGTTATGTTTAAGTAGACAGAGTTAAAAAGCTAAATCGTGACACAATCACACAGATATTCATGGTTCAGCTTGCAGGTTTTTTCCGACTTCCCAATGGTGAGAAAGTGATATAATTCAGTAGAAGTCACGCATCGAGTACCCAACAACCATTCTGTTTTTCATTTTCAATTAGGCATTTAATAAATTATATGAGACCGTCAACATTTCTGTGTAGAAGAAGCTTTGTGTTAGATAATTTTGCCCAGCTGTAGGCTAATGCCAGTGTTTTTAGCACATTTACAATAGGCTGGGGACTAAGCTGTGGTGTCGTCGATACATTTTCAAGTTATATTTTCAAAATATAATGGTGTTACTGGGGTGTAATCACATAGTAAGCCAAGGAGCATCTCTGTACTTAAACTCCTGTACCTCAAGTTTCCTTTCAGAGGATAACACTCTCAACCTGTACCCTAACATTAGAAAGAAAATGAAGCAATTTTAAGGGAAACTATGCCGAGCATGAAAAATTCTGTCTAACCCTGATCTGTCAGACTCCTGGGATTTACCATCTGGTAGAGAAGCATGTGGTGCCAGGGCAGAGGGGGACGGTGATGTGAAAAGTCTTCCTGCGGTGTTATCAAGGGGGGATTATGCTCCCCGCAAACCACTCACAGCAATGTCTGAGCTGGAGGAAGGATGATACGGAGAGTCCCCAATGCAGTCACAGCAGTCAGCTGATGAGGGCCATCAATCTGTCCACTCCAATAGGCAATGTCCACAGGCATCTGTCGGGGGAACTCACAAAGTCCCAGTTGGACAGGGGCTTCCCAGTGGCCGAAACACTATGACTAAGCTTATTACGAGTTATTACTCAGCTGAGTCTTCAGTGTACAGGGAAGGCTCCTGAGCAGCTTATGAAAATAAAGCCATCAAGTCCCACCTCCCATGCACCCAGGCTTGCAACAGATGACCTGTGCCCTGCCGCCTAAGCACAACTAATGAAGATGGGGCCACATACGGACTGCAGAGAAATCAGCCCATGCTGTAGGGGACAGGGAGAGAAAGAAGTTAGGCAAAGCCAATGCAAAGCAAAAACGCCAACCCTCTGAGGTGTGTGACTTCCGTCTAGGTCAGATGGTGGAGTTGAGAGCTGCTGCAATGCAGAGCGCATTTCTGAAACTGGCTCAGAGACTTAGATTTCAAACTTAAAGCTGCCGGCCTGGTCTGTCTGAACACCGACAGCCTCCTTCACACCATTATAAAATGTAACCACTCACCACTTTCCAGTTATTATTGCGACTGGTTGAGCCCAGGGGGTTCTGCCTCTGCCTGCCTCGAGTTTTATTAAGAGGGCGGTGTTGACTCTGTCATGAAGTGAAGGAATAAATGATGCATCTTCAATTATGGTGAATAACATGAGATAATGTGAAATCCCTGGGCAGTGCCTGTCGCTCAAAGGAGTAGGGCGCTGGCCCCATATACCAGAGGTGGTGGGTTCAAACCCGGCCCCGGCCAAAAACTTCAAAAAATAAAAAGTGAAATCCCTGCCATCACAAGTACCACCTGAGCCATCCTAGGTAAAGTATTACCCACTTCTCAGGAATGTTCTTGATGGTGTGTGTTACAAAACGTTGAGCTGGATGAGAGTCTAAGGTTTTAGTTGGGATTTTGTCAGATGTAATTCATGTCCCCATCACAGAGGGCAGTGCAGTCTGCGGCCACGGCTGATGGGGTGGAGAGGACAGCGTGCATTCTATGTTCTGCCCAGTGTGATGACACCTCACAGTAACGGGCAACAACAGAATCCCTCCTGACTGCACAAGTTGCCCTCGCTCCTGCTTAGAAGGCTGAGTCCAGCCTCTCTCTGGGCAGGGCACCTGGCACAGAGCTAATCAATGTTATGAGGACCCTGACAATAATTCCCCATGGTCAGTGGCATGGTGCAAGTGTCTATTAAATGTCCTCCTAGAAAGAAAATAAGTTTCCTAAATGAAAAAACTTCAGAGCTTGTAACACCCACATTCTCAATCCCTGGAGGTGGCCTGAATCCTCAATCCCTGGAGGTGGCCTGAATCCATTGCCCAGATGGGCCCAGAACCTGCCTACCCCTGTGTTTAATCTTCTGCATGGAATGAAGGAAGCAGAAGACAAAGACGGCATCACTCAAAAACAGCTCGGCACCAGAGTGTGTTGGGGGGCTCTGCAGGCCACCCTCCTGTGCTAACACTGCATTATATCAAAGCGGGATCATATTTGTTCGTTTGGCAGAAGAGCCTCAGATTTTTCTGGGCTTGCTCCCTCTGACATGCAGCACGTGCTCCAGAGCACACATGTGATGGAAGGCCTGGTTACACACACACGTGTGGATATCACACACAGTCAGTCTGGTGCAACAGCAACCACCTGGGGTCAGGAGGTGGATGCTTTGGTCTAATCCTACCACTGAGGTGGGCATTCGGGGCCAGAACCCTGGGTCTGATTTTGCTCAATAGTGACGCAGGTTCACTTTGTAATGGTCCCCAAATGGTCTGAGTCTGGCGACACAGAGCGCGAATTGACACAAGTCATATGAAGCAGGGTTATTCCATACAGGGTTAAGCCCACCCGCTGCAGGCAGAATGGGGACCAAAGACCTTAATCTTGGCAAGGGAAAACACCCCCAGAAAATGGGAGAAACAGAGAAACAAGCTAAGCAAGGCAGAGTAAAAAACAGATTAGCTCGCTGACTTTTAAACCAGCCGTTAAATTTCTTACCTAGCCTCATTTTTGGTTTTATGTTCATTTAATACCAGCGCGGTCTGATCTGGGAGTAGCAGGTGGGAATGTACAAACGTGAAGGAGATGGGAGGGGCCAGGTGGCCACTTGGCAATAGAGTAGATGGGAGCATCTTACCCTGTGGAGGAGAAACTGAGGCAGATAAATCAGTGCAGAAAATTGGCCATAGGGAAGAAGAAGGCAGTTAGAGTCCTTGCCCACTGTCCTAGGAGCAGGGGAAAGAGAAGTCTCAAGAGCTTAAGGCTGGAACTGAAAAAATATTTAAGGATGTTCTTTATGCCGGTCCTCACATTAGGTGCTGGACAGCCAACCGCTGGACCACTGTGTCTGGACAACAGCGCCTAGAGTCTCCGTGTGAACACTGACACACAAGATTAGGCTTTAGTACTGACTTCACGGCATGTATGCTAACACTGGAATGCTGCAGAGAATAGAAGCATGGCCCCCATGCAAGGATGACATGCCAATTCATGACGCGTTTCACATATTTTTATAAGAACAGGTTAATTTTTGAAGATCACAACTTGTGGCACTGAACACAAAGGAACCAGAAGTAAAATTTCTACTCGGTTGATAGAGTTTTAGATCTGCTAAGGAAGGACTTTGGCAGGTGTAAGGTGTGATGAGTTTCTGACAAAACAGAGCCAGAGGTCATCTGCAAAGATGGAACTAATCCTGCCCCTCACCAAGCTTCCTCTCCTCCGACACAACAGAAAACTGGAGTGGGATCGTCCAGGCAGTTCCAAAGAGGCTAAATCCAGCACACAACCTGTTCTAGGAAACCGAGTTTTATTGGAATCCAGCCACACCCATCTGTCTGCCTGCTGCCTGTGCTGTTTTCACACTACAGCCCCAGTGACTAGTTAAGACAGGGACCACAGAGCCGGCAAAACAGAAAAGATCGACTATTTAGGCCTTTACAGAAACAGTTTGCCAATCCCTATTTATCTAATAGCAGCATAGTCTCCGGGGGGAGAAAATGAAAGTTCATAACTACACATCAGATATCCTAGCTGTAAGGTGAGATTCCAAAACCCAAGAAATGGAAATCAATAAAAAGATACATTTACACTTGTCTTTGAGCCTGTTATCATCTCTCTTCCCAGGAATGTGTGGAATGACTTTCTATAATGTTCAAATGGATCATTTTAACTTTCCCAAGACTTGAAGTTCCAAATGTTTTTCTGTTGCAAAAATGTTTCTTGGCCTTCCTGGGAGGCACAGAACAAGAAGTATCCTGGGTCACATTATTAGCACCATTCCACGGTCATCAGTGTCTCACCGTAAAATAAACAGCTATCCCAAAATACCTATGCAAATAGGAGCTTATTCTGCTACTGATATGATTTGCATTAAGCTGAATCATTTCCCAGAATAAAATCCAAAGGGCATATAATTTTAAACCTCTATTACGGCAGTTGTTCTAGAAATGGCTTTGTATAAAAAAAGGCAAGTCCTTTCTCAATTTATACAAAATTTTTCATGAGGCTGATAATTGAAGTTTTATAGGCAATGAGGTGAACTATAATGCCACCTGCCTTGATATCAGATGAACCATTTATTTTGTAAATATCTGTAAAAAAGTAATAGGTTAATGTTTTTTCAAAGAAAATGTCAAAACCGTAACGGAAATATGGATATAAACCATTTTCCCTTGCATTATGACAAGTCCTTGTGATCCCATACATTCTTTAAGCTGACAATTGGCAGGATACTTCTCTGAGTAAGGTTTACCCCTTATCTTTACTTTTGGGTGTACAGTATGTAGTTTCTTAACTCACTAAAAAGCCTACCTTTCCAGTTTGCAAGCAATTACTAATATGAGGGCGACAGAATTAACAAATACAAAATACAAAGAGTTGCCTAAGGACTCGGAAATCCTTCTCTTTACATAGTTATTATTTGTTTATTTATCTATTTATTTATTGAAATGTTTATTTAAAATGTATTGTTTTATTAGGCTTCGGATCTCACTCTGCCACCCAGGCTGGAGTACAGGGGTATCATCATCGTTCACTGGAGCCTCAAATTCCTGGGCTCAAGGGATCCTCATGCCTCAGCCTCCAGAGTAGCTGGGATTACAGGCACCTGCCACCATGCATGTTAATTTAATTTTGTGGAGAAATGGGGTATCCCTATGTTGCCCAGGCTGCCCTCAAGTGATCCTCCTGCCTCAGGCTCCTAAAGGGCTAGAATTATAGGCATGGGCCACAGTTTCTGGTTCCCTATGTCTTTTTTTAAAAGCAACTGAGGATTGAGTATTCAAAATCATATCACTTAGCACAAGTATTGTCTGATGGATTGCAAGGGTTTTACAGACAGCCTTACATTACAGACAAAAAAAATAAATAAATA